CGCAGCTTGGGGCGCTCACAACCCGACGCCGTGGCCGCGAGGAGGCGGAGCCCGAACCGAAAGGAGAGCTCACCGAATTCGTTTTTCTCGTAAGTCCGGCTCATGGTGTTGTCCCGACAGGGCGAGAACTCTGCGCGGCTGCCGTTCTGGAGCTGAGCCACAAAGCAGCCACCCACGGGCGTCTTCCCAGCCTCGTCGTTTTTTTCTAGGACATTCCAGTGCTGCCAGGGGGCGCAGGCCTGGGGTGGACCACAGGAGATTGGGAAGGGGCAAGACTCGCTTCCCCTCGCCCTTCCACGCCCCCCTGCCCGTCTACTCTCTGCTCCCCGTCGTGCGTTGCCCACCACAATGCTGTCCTTCCAGCTGACGACCGACGCCCCCAGTCCTTGCTGAGCCTTGAAGGTTTGGAAAGTTTGAAAGCCTACTTTTCGGGTTTCATCGTCTGGAAGGCACAAGGAGCGGGCGCTGAAGCCGGCGACTCGCGCTCGTCTATCTCTTTCCCTCTTGGTGCTGAACTTACTTAGGTCGAAGAGCAGCAAGTTGCACTGGTCGCCCTCGGCCCTCCACGGGCACAGGAACACGCCGCCCATCTTCTCCTGGTTGCGGCCCAGATTCTGCGGGGCACCCACTATTATGGCCAAGCTGCGTAGGAAAGCTGAGTGAGGGCTGCGTGCATTCCGGGGTACCCTGTTACCCAGTGCCAGCGCTGGCAGCCTGACCAAAAGGAGCAGTGTGCTTTGAGCGCTTTTCCCAAAGGAGACCTCACAGGCCATTGATTTCAACCTTGTTGGCTGTGGACCATAACATTGACTCCCAGGTGGGGAAATCTATGTCCAAGTAGCCCAGCAAATTAAAGGTGTAATTGGGGCCAGACCATGTGATTTGATTTGAATAGAGGGGTTTGATATCCTTGCTGAAAAAGACCTACGAAACTCTATATACCATCTACACTCCTCATTTCCCCACCAAAAACCGGAGGGTTAACATGCTCCCTAGAATGTATGTCTGGAGACTGTACCCAGATCCCTTCTGGAGAGCTGGTTTTAATGGTAAAAAATTAGGGACAGTAGTGGGCATCTCTAAACTTGGAAGGGGGGGGAGTGGTGACATCACTAAGGACACTTGCAAATCTGGGTTCAAATCATAGCTCTGCATCTATAAGTGACATTGCCAACCAATCACCAGCCAGAAGCTAATGAAGTAAATGTGTGAGGGACATTCTGCATGGTGCCCGCTAAGTCACACCTAACAAGTGCTGAAAAACTACTATTTTCTTTATCCAGCATACAGGATATTCACTGAATGATTCCTACTAGACCTATACCTGGGAAAAGGAGAAGAAAGAAGCAGAGGTGGAATGAAGGAGTCAAGTAGAGATTTGGGCTAGAAGTTAGCCAGAAGTTAGACCTGGGAGTTAGGGACCTTGAAGGATTTTTCAGAATTATTGAGTTAAGGGGAAAGGGTCGAACACTTACACTTCTCCCCCACTTTTACCCTCATGGTTTATCAGTATCGGTTGGGGACCACATTGGGAAGGGGGCTTGACTTTGGGGGGAGTGGTGTGGGGCTGCTCTTCAGCAGAGGAAACCTCCCAGGATCTGATGCCACACCACTGCTGTTCCCCAAGGCTGGGAATCAGTGTCCACCACAGTGACTCTCAGGGAGGTAGGGAGGATAGTCTCATTTTGTGGCCTGATCAATCCCAAGCATTAATGCGCTTTGCTTTTCAAATATAATTTTGATGGGAATGGGATAGACAAGCAAGGTGGAGGTGAGCAGATGATTTTACTGATTTCTGAGTCAACTTCAGACTCATGCTCCTGCCTATAATTCATACAACTGACCCTTTGGAGAAAAGAGGATTTTATCCAAGTCTTTGGGGGAAAACTACCATCTTCCTTTAGTTCTGATTGTTTTAGTGCTCATCTGCCCATTGGGGCTCCCCAAAACATACACATCCTTATCTAAGCTGGTCCCTCCCTAGTATTCCTAGCAAGAACTCACACTGAACTGAGACCTCACAGAAGCGGTAGCGAAGGGAGAATCTTTTCTCCAGCACCCAACCTTCCCCCTCGGCTCACCTCCCGCGGCTGTCCTTGTAGAAGTCCAGAGCAAATCCAAAGTGGCTGCCGTTGGGGCCTGTGTAGATGGTGAGCCTTGCTGGGTCCAGGTTCAAGGCCCAGGCTGCAGGAACAGCACTAGGTCCCAAGAGCAGCTGCAACCACTCTAGAAGCCAGAGGGCATGAAGTGGACTCAAAGTTCTGGGCATCTTCCCTCTACCAGCTCCTAGGCAGGAATGAGTCAGGTCCTTCCTTTCTAACAGTTTCAACTACAGGAAGTTTTTTTCTTATCATACTGGAAGCTGCTTGCTGAGCAGTGGACAGAGGCATGGGCTATAGACCCTGGGGCTGCATGGTTTTCTAGGACTGTCAGGGAGGGGATGAGGCCTCCAGGGGGTGAATGCTGATGTCTGACAGCCATGACAGCTCCCTTTTCCTGAGAGTGCAGCACCAGGTCCTGCTGATTCTGCCTCTCCATGTCTCTTGATCCCATCCCCACTACCTTGCTACTCAAAGCATTCATCACTGTTTGGGACCGTGCCACTATGAACTAGCTGGTCTGCATACCCCCACTCTAGCCCAGCTCCAGTTCCTCCTCCCCTCACACAGTGACCGCACTGCTCTGACAGTGACTTTGTCAGAGGTGGGGAGAAGAGTAAGGAAACTGTTGTGCCCTGATAAGACCTGGGGCTGCATGTCCCTTTGGAGGAGGCACTTATCTACTTCCTCCTTTCAGAACCTTGGGCAGCTTCAACCATCCATCTTAGCAGTTCTTCCTCCATCTCAGGCTGAGTCTGAATGTGGCCACTGCAGCATGGCCAGTGTTAGGGAAGAAGTGAATGGGTCCTGATCTAAAGGGCAAAAGGGATAAAAGTATCATTCCAGGGTATTCTGGCTCACAGTCTCTGAGGTTATGCCCACCTGTTCTTTCAGAGGTTGAACCAAGATGAGGGGGGTCATTGCCTAAGGGAAGCCCCCTCCCCTGACTCCTCAGGCTGGCACTCTGGGGTTAAAACACAAACACAGCACAGTTGGCATTGTTTAGTCAAGCTCTGTTCACTGGGTTGTGCCCATGAGTCCCTGGACATGGCACTTTCTTCAGCCCCTGGGTCAGGAACCCAGGGGGTAGGGAGCTGCAGTGGAAACAGGCACCAGGCGTGAACGATGCACACAGTCACGTAGTGGAACGAGAAAGAAGTGTTCTGAGCAGAAAAGCAAGGCCGTAATCTATGGGTAGGAGAGGAGTGACAAGTCTTACTGGCAATGTCTTTCCAGACAGCAGTTTTCTGGGAGGAAATTCAAGAGATCAGATAGGGAGTAAAAGAATATAGCTGCATCCTCTTTTAGATTTTTGTGATCAAACAACCATCTCCGACCCTCTTCCATTCCAGAATCCCTTTAGCTCCTGTCTTCTGATTCACCACTTCAGCACACAGCTCAAAATTCCTAGTAGGTTAGAAGCACCTTGGATTTTCATCTGGGTCTTCACCGCTGAATTCCCTGTGCCAAGCTTGTGACTGGCGTAATGCATTTGTTAGAGTGAATCGTTATTCAGTCTGATACTTACCTTCTATTTCCCTGCTGTCCTCAACTGAGGGGTATTGTATTACTGGTGTTTACTGTGAAGCCCAGTTATCAACTCACATTTATTAAAGTTCTTAAAATGCTCTTATTTTGATCAAAGCATTGGAAGATAATCATGGAAATCCTTAAAGAACTTAGTCCAGAGGGAGTTAAGACATAATCACACAGAACAGCCCTTGACAGAAAGCGTGCCTTGAAAGGGTAGAGATTATGCCTAACTGAAGTCACTAATATCATGTGCGTAACAAATCCCTAAGAGATGGAGAATCACAAAGATTCTGGGAATAAGAGCTACATTGGACTGCAGTGTGGATGATTATACTGTCTGTGGAAAGAACTGGAAAGGATAAATTAGTGGGACGCTGAGCTGGACAGTGGCTGAAATCCTCAAAGATGATGAGACCCAAGCCAGGGTACTGTCAGGAGTGAGAGCAGAGGTCAGAAAATCCGTCAGCTGGATATGGCAGGGTGTCAAAAAGAATGTGAAGCTTTGGTGCCCGTTTGGTCACAGTGGGACCATTAATAAGAGCTGCAAACAGGGGGAGGGCCAGATTGGGAAGGGGGAGTTAGGTATTCAATGATTCTGTTCTTCAGGGGTGTTCTTTTGGGATCAGGGCCAAGTTAATCTCCCTCCTGAGAAAGTGGGTAAAGGAGTGTTGACACACTGCTCCTACTTGCTCATCACTCAGAGCCCCAGAATCCCTCAATGAATTAAAAATTCATTAACGGTTATGAGAATCTACTCTGTGCCTGGCACTGAAGTAGGCAATATGAAAGACAGAGAAGTCTTCCATCATCTTTGAACATTTCCTTGCTAAAACCTGATGTATAATCTGCAGTTAGTTGTATCTTACTTTGCTCGTCTTTCCTGAACTATACTCAATGTTTACCGAAGTTCAACTCTAGGTAAGGCGTTAAGGAACGAAGAAGTACAACAATCAGTCCCTGTCCTCCCAGACCTTTCAATTTCACTGGGATGAACACAAAATGTTTGTTCTCAGATTCTTCAATGGCATGGGGAGCTAAGGGTCTAGTCAGGGAGGGCAGCTAGAGAACTGCAATGATTCAGGTATGAGTTGGGGATGTGAAGGTATTTCTGACAAGTCAGAATGTAAACTGTTGATAAGGTCTGCATCACTCATCCAGGGCGTAGAAGAATGAGAAGCTCCAGGGAGAACCTCCCCAGAACATGCAGGCGCACACCCCTCCACATAGCATTCTCAACAGGCCAGTCGGCCTCTTTCAGCCAACATCTTGCCTGCACAAAACCTGTAGTTGGCCTAAAACTAGCCATCAGGTAAGTAGAATTCTAATTAAAAATCACTTCTAGGGATTTTGCTATTTTAGGAAAATAGGCACCTCTGAGCATTCAATCCAGGGTTCAATCTGAAACGTTTCTCTAGCTGAGGGGAGTACACAGCTGTATAGCTACTCTTCCCTGAAAGACTGGACAGGAAACTAACTTAGCACTACAAATCAATGGTTAAGTTTTTGATGCTAAACTCCCGTGGCTTTACAGAATCTAGACACAGAAGAATAGAGGCTACTATCTATTACGACATACTCCCTTTTACCAGGTGGCTCTCATGTACTATAGTGGAATTAAAGGGTTGAGACCAATTTAAGTCTGGTTTTGGCATACAGAACTCTACCTGGAGGACAAAGGCTGGGCAGAGGAGTCTTGTCTTGAATGAAGTTCACACACTATCCTAAAAAGTCAAAGCGAAATTCCAAACCCATTTTTGCGCACACACACACCAGACATTCTAGTAAAGATTCTATTTCTAAAGTGAGATGGGGAGAAATAGAAATGATCATGGGGAAGACTGGAAAGGCTCACCTTTCAAGGTATCTACCTAGGTCTGGAACTTTACCATCATCTCGTCCCATGGCTACAGTCACTGCCTCTTGACGTGGGCAAGAGTGTTGAGAAGCACAATTCCAAACATCACAAACTACTAGTACACAAGAATTTCTTGGTCACTTCAAACAAGATCTTTGTAGTCCTTAACTCCATCCCTTCCCAACTTGAGTGGATGGAGCAACAATCACGACAGACTCTACTAAGTTTCCACAAATCATTGGTTTATTAGAAAGTTCCTTTCCCTAATTTTACAGCATATATATCTCTATTGTATGTGATAAAGTTAAATACAATCTGTTAGGCTTGTAAGTAAGGTTATTATTATTATTTTTTTAAGTTTTAAAATCACTATTCTGGAAGTGAAAGAAAACTGCCCCCAGGAAGGCAGAGAGAGGCAGCCAGAGTATGGCTCAATCTACAAGCTAATGGGAAGCAGCACAAAAAAAGTTAATACTGTATTTAAAAAAATATTTACATGGGGTGAAAGCAAAGAAAGATGAAATTCCTTCACTTCAAACAGAGGACTTCATTTTTTCAGTGCTACTGTCAAGAAAGTGATGCTTCCGAGTCAGGCAAGAACACTGAAAGTCAAGAACTTTTGACTGCCTAGCTTGCTTCTCAGACTCAAACCTTTGTCTTCTGGGAACTTGAGCAGCCAGGCAGAACAGAGCCTTGGCCCAGGTGAGTGGGGTTTTTCCTGTCAGGTGACCACCCAACTCTGGCCACAGGAACAAGTAGAACTGTCAGACAGGGGGCAGCGTGTCTATGCCAAAGATGAGGCCTGTAGATGTACACCTTTGGGTCAGTGTGCTGATTAGGTCTGAGAGCCCGGGTGAAAGGCTAGAGGAGGAGAGGAACTAAGGTGGTATTTCCTCTGGTAGGTGACATGAGAGGGGAAAAAAAGGGAACTGTTAGTGCTTCAGCTAAGCTGGGCAGAAGGCATGGATCTATGAAGCAGAAGAATATTTAGTATCTATGTGTGCTCACCTCCCAAAAAAGGAGGAAGAAAATTATCCCAACTCTACCAGCCTCCAGTCTACTTCTACTTTAGTTTCTAGCCAACCGAAAAGGCACATTAAAAAAAAAATTGTCAGAGGGGGCCAAACAGTAGGAAGGCAAATGGAATGCCTGGAACAGGCGCCCAGGAACCCAGGATCCCCCAGACAATCACTCTCAATTTCACTGCTTCCAGAGAATAAAGCTCTTGAATCTCTCCCTCCTCTGTGGGGCCTCTGCTTCTCCGTAGAAAACAGCAAAGCACACAGAGACGGTCATAACTGAGCACCATCCCTCTGACACCCTCCAACTGACTGCTACCCATTAGTTAAAAAATACCAGTGCTGGGGGCGCCACATACTGCAAATTACTAAACATTTTGTCCCAGCAAAAAAAAATGTCAAACAGTGTTTCCCTTGTTTTAACATTTTTATAGTTCATAACTTCAAAAAATACATGAGCTTGATAAAATATACATGCTTAGTCATTTTTGCATCTAGCAGAAAACAAATACTTTATTTTTTGTTTTCACTTTATAACCTTTAAAGTTTCTTAATTGAACTAGGGCAAACATATTTACACAAAGCCACCAAAACAAGGATCACTTAAAGAGCTGGATGTAAAAAATATTATTGCAGTATACTACAAATATGGAACTTCTTTTTTAATATGAGCTACAAAAAGCAGCATTTACGTTTATAGAGTTCAGTGCAATTTTTTTACATTAAAAAAATCCTATAAATTAAGGAAACATCAACATGACAGAAGAAAACACACCCTTCAGACATGAGTTCCTCTCTGGGGAGACACACGGGCGACTCCAGTTCCACACAGCTTCAACTCACGAGAGGGTCTTCTCTTCTGGGGTGAGGGCGCGAGGACGGCGCGGTCTGTGCGGAAAGTGGACTGAGAACAGCCTGAGTAGCATCTGGTTCCAGGTCAGACTCCCTTCCCACCTCACCCAGGGTAACACAAGGTCACCAAGGGAAGATCAAAGACAAGGCAGGACCAGATGGACAACCCGCTGGCCAAAGTGGAAAATACTTCAAAATTGAAAGACAGGAAGAGCAGAGGATAAAAGGAAGGTGGGGAAGGGGAGTATCTAAACTTGACAGTTTAGACATGTTGCCAGAGTAGGTGGGTAGCACTTACTGGTGTCCCCTACTTTAGAAACTTGGGGGGAGGAGACAGACGAACAGGGGAAAGGGAAAAATATCCCTGATAGTAAACCCAAAGCAAACCTCAAATCTAAAACCACCCCCACAAGCCAAAACTGGATTCTTTGGCTGTCAGACACTGCCCATCCCAGCTTCCACTTGCTGGATCAATGGCTCAACACCCCCTAGGGAACGTCTATAGGTCACCTTCCCTGGCCGTACCTAGGCTCCCACCCAACTCATGTGCCATGGCTGGGAGGGTGCTGCAGGTCCTGACCTGAGAAGATGGGATGAAGTAGTGGGTGAAGGTGGAGGGCAGTGGCAGCTGCTGCAGCAGGCCGTGGGGCGAGTAGGGTAGGGTAGAGGGCAGCATGGGGGACTGGGTGGAAGGTGAAGGGCCCAGGGTGGATGGCTGAGGCAGGAATGATGTGGATGGGATGGCTAGCAAGAAAGGTGGCAGGGTGGCCAGGGATGATTGAGTGAGTGAGGTGAGACAAAGAAATGGGAGTCAGGTGTGGCTGGGGAATATGATGGACTTGGGCAAGTGGCTGGGGATGAGGGTGGGGATGAATGCCAATGGCGGCGGCGGCAGCTGCAGCATGATGCTGCAGGATGGCGTGCTGGACAGTTGTGATGGAGGTGGCAGAGGCAGTGGCTGGCTGCTGAATGTGGATGGGCTGCAGGGCTGGAGTGGCTGGGGCCAGAGCAGCGGAGGCTGGGAAGGCCTTCACTTGCTTGGCCAAAAGCTGCTGCTGGATGTGTTGCTGTGCGGCCTGCTGGAGCTTGCTGTACTTCTCCATCTCCTCAGGGGTGAAGGTGATGGGCTGGCTTTCTAGGGGCGCCAGTGAAGCGTCCTCGGTCCCATCAGCTGACTCAATACTCGGCTCCCCACTATGAGGTGCGTAACTGGGGAAATGCTCAAGGTCTGGGGCAATAGGCAGCAAGCTAGATTCCACAGGGCCTGGTTGACTGCCACTATCCAAGGATTCTAGGGTGTCCCCATCACTGGGGTCAGGGAGGTAGTTATGGGAGATGGTTGGGTCCCCAGGATAGCAGTCAGAGTGCACTGGGGTGCTTAATGGAGCCACAGGATGATCAGCAGTAGCTTCTTCCGACTTTGGCTCTTCTGGGGGTGAGTCTGATAAGGGGCCAGTGGTTTCCTCTGAAGAGAACGGATGTCCAAATGGGGCATCACTACTCCCCGAAGGTCCTTCCTCTGTCTCTGACTGCTCTTGCTCTTCTCCCCTTTCTAAGCCAGACTCTTCACATTTCTTGGTGCTGGGTTTTCGGGTAGCTGGGAGCTTTCCTATCAATGGAAGGACAGGCTTATTGCCAAGAGAAGGGGGTAGCTTGGGTCCAAAGTAACCTTGTGGGGGGTCTTTGAGCTTGAGCCCAGCTTTGTTAGGGGTGGCCAACACTTCTTCACTCATACTGGTCTTCTTCTCTACCTTCCTGGACTGGATCTTCTCCAATAGCAGTTTGGCAGTGACAAAGTTCTTGTCTTCAGGGCTACAGTCACCTTCTGACCCCCTTCCTGTGCCAATGTTGCTGTTCTGGGGGGGTGGGCCTGTCCCTTTACTATCATCTCCTCTGCCATCTTCTTTCTTCCCAGAACCTTCCCCCCGCCCTGATCGGAAATAGTGTGGAGATTGGGAACGGTAGATTTTAGAGCGAATGAAGTCTCGACGGCCAGAACGCCTCTCCTCAGGGCTCTCGTGACCCCACGACCCCTTCCTAGAGCCTGATCTCTGGGAAGGGCTCCTGGTGCTGCGACTGCGGTCCCGGCTATAGCTCCGGCTTCTCTGCCAGCTGTGAGCTGTAGTACTCCGGCTTCTTCGCTTGCTCCGGCTGCGGCTACAACTGCTGCTGCGGCTACGGCCCCGGGATCTTGAGCGCTCCCTGGTATGACTCCGGGACCGACTCCTGGACTGACTGCAACTGAGGCTATAGTCATCGTCAGATGATGAATATTTGTGCCGTTTGGACCGGTGCTTGGAGCTGGCATAGTCTGAATCATCAGAGTCATGGGACCGCTTGGAGTGCCTCCGTGATCGGTCACTATAGTCACTGTAGCTGTCATCAGAGTAACTGCGCTGCCTGCTATAGCAGCTCTGGTCTGAAGAAGCATCTGAGCTACTTGAGTAAGACCGCCGGGAAGAACGGTGTGAGGAATGGCGCCGACCCGACCGTGAGCGGCTGCGAGAATGCTCACTGACCGAGTCCTCCTCCTCCTCCTCCTCCTCTTCCTCACTGTACTGGGACGGAGACTTCTGGTGCAGCCTGCGCGATGAAGCATCATCGCTATCCTCATCGCCACTGCTGGGCCGACTCCGAAGGCTGGACCGGCTATTCCGCTTGCTGCTCGTTCTTCGCTGGCAGGAGGAAGTAGGCGCTTCACCTTTGTGTTTCCTCCCACCATGATCCTGAGAGCTGCTACCGCCCCCACCTTCCTCCTTTTTGCCACCGCTCCCCTCCTCTGTGGGGAGGGGTCTCTGCTGGGAATCATCTTGAGCTCGTCGCCGTCGCCTTGGCGGTGCCGGGCTACCACTTCCAGGGGGTTCCGTTTTGGGTCCCCGTTCAGAATCTGCCGGAGCAGATGACTTATTCTTCTTTCGTTTTCGTTTCTTGCGCTTTTTGGACTTCTCCCCAGACTCTGCTTTTGAGCTCTTCTCTTCTGAGTCAATCTTGTGTTTTCGTTTGTGTTTGCTGGATTTTTTGTGCTTCTTTTTCTTTTTGTGTCGGTGTGACTTCCCAGACCGTTCTTTCTTGCCAGGAAGGCTTCTCCCCGTGTCTTCTGTCTCCGACCCATGGCTGCCCCCAGGTTCCTGCTTATTCACGCTGCTACAGGCAGACCCTGAAGCAGTTGCATCCACTTTGCCTGCAGAGGCGTGTTGTACATTCTCTGCCCCCTCCTTGCCTTTATTTGGCTCGCCAGGATCATGGCTTTGGAGATGGTCCTTTGAGGAACCGCTTATGTCCTTTGGTTTTTCTGTCCCTTTAGCTCTGGTATCCTTGTTCCTTGAGAGTTTAAAGTCAAAGTATAAAGGGTTACAACTGTATGAAATGGAAGGTTCCGCCTTGGTGAAAATCAATAGTTCCGACGGCCACTGGAGGGCAGTGCTTTCATCTTTGCTCAGAACTGGGAAGAATGGACCGGTAGGGTGTTTGGGTCCCTCTTGGCTTTCTTTCCCTGATGAGGTGGCCTGAGAAGTTTCTTTAGAAGGGTTAGACTCACACACTTGGACCTCTGAAGGCTTCTGACCCTGACTGTCTAAACTCTGCTCACTTATATCCCCTCCTGAGGCCTTCTTTGTCTCAGCTTTGCTTCCAGGCTCTGAAGGTTCAGTCACACTGATTTCCAGTGGCTGTTCTGAGACTTCAACTGTCTTTTCTGCCCCTTGGCTTGCTGTCACCTTGATGCCGCCTTTAGGTTTGGGAGAACTGCTTTTTTTGCTTTCTGGGGTGTTCTTTGGGTGTGTATTATTATCACCTTCCATTTGTTCACTAGCTCTCATAAAGAGTAAGAAGGGAAAATTAGGCTTTACCTTGCAATGTGCTGGGGGGATATAGTGATAATACTCTGGCTCTGTAGCCCCAGCTCCTTCTTCTCGCTTCATTCTTTTTAACTTAGATAATGTTGAGGCAAGGGACCCTCCATCCTGAGGATCTTCATCCTCTTTTTTACCATCGAGATTACTGCTACCATCAGCGTCTCCCACCTTCTGCAGCCCTTGATCAGAACCCTTCTCATCAGCTTTTGTTCCATCTTCAGAGGTCCCTTCCTCGGCATGGTCCTTGAAAACGGATGCTATTGATTCAAGTTTAACAGGAGCCTTCTTGGCAAAGGAAAACGACACTCCTAACTTTTGCAATGGGGTCCCCAGATTATTCTTAATGCCAAAGCTGATGCCCTGGGAGGCTAACCCAGGAGCCTGTGTCAGTCCAGTGGTATTAGTGATCTGTACTGCAGTGAAAGGGCCTCCTTTATCTGTGGAGAACTCAGATCCCAGGCCACAAGCAGCAGCAGCACTTGTGGCACTGTGTGTAGCTGACTCATCTTTATCATCATCTCCACCTTCTTCATCTACGGCTACTGTGGTTGGTCTGAACATAGGGCCACTTCCAGGTGCACTGTGTATGGTTCGGGAAATGAAACAACAAAAAAACAAGTTTAGGGGAACATTTTGTAGCTCTTATAAAATTACTTCTATGTTCTACTAATCACCACAGGTAAGTCTGAGAGAGAGTTGTGGCCACTCACTATCCCTGTGCTAATGACGGCAAATTCCTTAGTGGGTATCAGGGAGTCTCGTATTGTCAATCTACCAAGCCTAATTCCTACGGCTAGTCAGTTGCTGCTTTTCTTCCTAGGCTGGCTAAAAAAATACAAGAAGTGAGGCTATTACACAATTAAACAAATCATCATTAACAATGATACAATCTATGAGTTTTTATCATTTCTTTCTTTTATTTTATAAATACATTTTCAACATTATTCTTCACTTTCTACATTTTTTTCATCTCAGTCATAATCCCCGTGGACTTCCCACTTCACCCATGTGCCATCACTGCAGACCCACATGCTCTTCCCACTCCAGTTTTGAGTTTTGACCTTGTTCCCCTCTCCTCTTATAGAATGTCTGTTTAGAATGTCTGTTTTCTAGTTGTTAGTTGATGTTCTTTTTTACTTTATTACAATTTCTCTCTCTTTCTCTCTCTTATATAAATATTTAGTGTGTGTGTGTATGCTATATTCCCCCCCACACACAAACAATCCCTTACACTCCTGCTATGAGTGAAACCATCCAGTATTTTTTTTTCCTTTCTGGCTTATTTCACTAAGTATGGTCTTTTTCAGCTCCATCTATGTTGCCACAAATGGCATGAGTTTATCTTTTTTGATTGCTGAGTAATATTTCATTGTATATATGTACTACATCTTCTTGATCATTGTCATTTCTTATTGTATCATCCTACCCAAAAGTACACTACCAACACATGGATAAACATCTACTCAAAGGCTGTACTTTACTTAGCTTTAAAAAAAAATCTTAATTTCTTTTGTATTTTCCAATTTCATTTTTTAAAAAGTGTATTATTTGCTAAGAAAATCATAGACACCTCAACACCTCTGTTTTAAAACTAACAGTCTTTGCCTATCTCCTGGGCACCATACTTAAGCATTTGCTTTGAGTTTGTCACAACTTTTTGACATTCAATACAATGATCATGATGCTACCAACTATTTTTTGACAACAATGAGAAGTGTTTTAAACTTTTGTCATGTCTGAAATTTTTAGTGTGTGGACTATACAAGTATCTCTCAATTCAAATTAAAACACTGAACGAGTAAGAGATCTATTTGGATGAAGTCTTTGTTATCTGATATCCAGGTACTAGCTGTCCAAAAACTTAGGGAACAAATGTATATTCCAGTAAAATTTGGATAGATGAGGTAACACTCACCATGTCATGGACATTATCCCTCTGCAAAGAAACCCTCAACTTGAATTAAAAGAGGATTTATTTTGATTGATTGCTTAGTCTTTGCCATGTAACTTCAATAATACTATTGGACCAAACATTACTTCTAGTACAATGAATTTCCTGATGATGGATCCTTTTATTCTGGGCTTCTCTGGTAGTATAAGTCTCAGCACTGTCAAGCTATTGCCAGCCACTGTGCCATGAATTTGATTCCCAGCCAGGGAGCTGACCCTCATGGCACAGTAGATATCTCCTGTCTCACCTGCTGCTCCCCTCAGTAGTGTATTTCAACAGATCTGCCTGTTGTGCTCTCCACTCTGCCTTTGGTGAATCCTCTCACACACCCCTTCCCCGGGCCCCAACACACCTATGGTTTACAACCCAACTCTTATAAACATAAATAAATCTTTAAAAAAAAAATTAACAAATCAAAAACCACTTTCTATTCTTCCAAGAGATTACTTGGTCATCTTTTAACTATTTAATTAAATTAAAAGTCATCTCTGAAGAGAAGCATGTATGTCCTGAACTAGACGATGGCCTGTGTATACTTTTTAAGGTTGTCCCTTGCAATATACCCAAAAGGAATGTGTTTACTACATGACAAGCTGCCAAATGAATTAGAATCAGTTTAATGACAGTTTATCATTAGAGACTGTTTCAAAGTTTACAGTATCTGTATTTTCACCCTTCCTTCTTCCCACACAAGAGAAATAAGCCGTAAAAGGATCCAAAGACAAAAAATGAGCTTAGTAAGTCCAAGAAATTGGATTCTGCTTCTAACTTAAGTTATAAACTTTTAATAGCTTCTCTTTCTACTGTATCCAGTTCCTTCCTTTGGTCTGGATAGTTATTAAAAACAAACATAGGGGCTTAAGTCCTTCTAATTGAGGAACATACCTCATGAATGTTCAGAGGCTTAACAAGTATGAGCCTAGTTGCTTGCATGCTGAGCCCTAGAAGAGTAAACTCCATTTAAGGTTAATTATCAGCCCCAAACTGATAATCAGCAAGAACCATGAATGAATATTAAAAATACTGGAGAAGGTAAGAATCTAAAGAGAAGTAAATGGATAGAATTCTCTCTTATTGAGTACTACTTAAAAAGTATAACACTTGAATCTGTGATTCAGTATTTTTTTAAAGACTTTTATTTATTTATGAATACAAGAACTGGGGTGTAGGCCAGAAGTGCAGGGAGAGGATTCACCAGAGACTGAGTAGGGAGCAGAACAGGTGGATCTACTGAAATACACTGCTGTGCAGTGGGTGAGACAGGAGAGGTCTGTTGTACTACGTGGGTAAACTCCCTGGCCAGCGATCAAGCTTGAGCTGCAGTGGCTGCTGATACCTTCACGGTGTTGAAACTTAACCTCTTGTGCCACCAGGGAGGCCTCCAACTCAGTATTTTTTAACTAAATTTTAAGTAAGCTTTAAATAACTAAGTTTTAAATAACTTTTAAAACTAATTTAAATAAAAAGAATATTGTAATATATATGCATTTTCTATTGACTTGTTAGAGAATGGAAACAGTAGTAGCCACCTAGCTTACCTAAATGTTGCATCCACCACTCTTTTATAATCATTTTTGCTTTCTTATAATAAGGAACATGAGATATAACATTCAGATAGGTTGTAGCCTCAAAGTGCATTTTCTTAAACAGTATATTAAGCTCCAAGCATAGATATGCTTTTAATGTTAAAGAAGGATCTGTTAAAAAATTAGGACTTATAATTATCTGTACAATCCTCTGAGAGAAAATATCCTCACCATTCAGCTTGTTTTCTTTGCTCTGCCAACTCATGGAGTCGTCTGAGGGCCTTTTCCTGCTTCTTCTCATCCTTGCGGGATCTTGAAGAGACATTTCGAGCAAATTCTCTCTGCTTGAGATCTTTCAATCTCTGGGGTAACAGAAAAAAAGGAACAGAGGGTGGGTGACTTAAAATAACTTGGGGTCCTAACAGCAAGGCCTTTTAAGATATTTGCCCTCAACTGAGTGGCTACTACAGAACACAATGTTATACTCCCTTTATGGTAAGGAAACATAATACTTCATTACTTTAAATAAAACACTTGAAAATAAAGTATCTGAATTTCTAATTAGGACAGTGTACCATTTGCTTCATTGGATAAAATAAAATGATTTCAGAAGCAACAATTTCAGAATACTAGGAGGAAAGAAAAGGAACTATTTTAATCACCTGCTTTTCCCAGATGCAAAACTAGACGAACAACATGAGATAAATTTTAATAACATAAGCCAAAAGAGAACAGAAAGGGGTTAAGCTAAGTACAGAAAATTACCCAGGTTTAAGATCTTAAGAAAGCAATGTACAGCTTACATGGGGAGGTTGGTTATTTGAATCAGAACAAATAGAAAATATATTTTTATTTCACCATAATAAGGTGCTCTTATTTCTTTTCCACATCAACAGTTTTCCTAACTATCAAACAAACCATCTTCCAATGCTAGCATGTCTAGAATTAACCAGTCTGACCACTCTGATCTGATCAGTCTGTTGAAATTAAAACAGTAATATGTGGAAACTTTTCATTCCTTCATGGCCCTGAGAGGAACATCCAGGGAATGAGGAGGGAAAAGAGGAAAGTCAAAGAATTTATTGCTTAAAATCCTGATAAAAGAATAAGTATTTTATTCTTAGAAACTACTATATAATTTTCCTTAAAGCAGAATGACAATAACCAAAAAGAACAGTGCCATGACACACTGATGAGTCCAGACATCTCTATCTGCATTGAAGTCAGAGCTAAAATTATTTTCAACATTCTAGATAATATAAAAAACAAACAAAACAAAACATACATTTAGCCTATGTTTTTACAACAGCATTGGGAAAAGGAATCTGACCCAATATAAAGTGGACATTGCTTTGTGGGAAGGCATGATGGTCAACAGACACAGGAATTTTCTTATCTAAAATTTATGAAATGTGTTTTGAGTGTTTTTGAATTGGGAGGGAAGAAGGGTGGAAAGACACACACAAAAAAAAAGATATACAGCTAAAGACACTAGTAGAAAAACTCACTCTTGTGATCTGGGCTCCCAAATTAGAAGGAATTGCTTTCAATACATCAGCTGAAAATGTCACATCACAGAGAAAAAAAAGTAAAAAATAAAACAAGAGTGGAAGAGAAAAAAAAATAAAGCAAGCATTACTACACAAGCTCTCTTAGTGCATCTGCAAACTATTATAGTGGACAATCAGGGACAAAGCCATCAACCTAAAGGACTGGCAGCTGTACAACACATGTGTATGTACACAGGCTGACACAGCAATAATCCCGCTAGAGAAAGGGGACTATCTGTGTTTCTCCAGGAAAAAATGGTTACAGAAATTTAGGAATAAAGACCACTGCTAACTAGAAGCAAACTCTTATTTTCATTTATCTTTATTTTTATTTGGGAGGAGTTCAAATAAGCAACAGCTGGCTTTTTTTTTTTCCTTTTCTAAGGGTGGTTGTTCAGAGTTAGGATTTTTAATAAAAACTACCTCGAGAATTAACTATTTTAAGTAAACATTTAATTCCAACTTCCTCCTTCTGAGAATAAGGCCTACCATATTAATTTTGGTTGTAAAGCCCAAAATTACAGGTTTTCTGGCCAAGATTTAAATGGAATGTATGTCTTTTTCCTGGCTGTCATCTTCTCCCTGACCATCCCGTAAGCCTGGAAAACCTCCCCATGCTTAAGTAATTTCTTTCTATTTAAAAATATTTCATCACATAGAGGGGTTAATTCACAAACTGTAGAGTAAGTATCTTATATAAATCTCCAGGCTAAATCAGAGAGATTAGGCTTTCCAATCATTTAGTAGTCACTTGGTAAATCCTTGAAGTTGACAGGACAACCTACCTCAAATTCCTACTACAATTTATCTGGAGGTAGGGAGGGAAGAAAATGGGGTATCAATAAAATCAATTCAAAACGCAGCCCCTCCTATACAAAATCATCCTAGTACTATATTTGGTATAGAAAACACTCCTATGATCACCTTTATAATGTATGGTCAAGTCCAGAGTCTCAAAAGTAGAACTGGGAATCCAGGATTCTAGCCCAAATCTTAGGGAGGTTTACCAACTCACCTAAATCCAAAATGTATATATGAAGTCTCTCAGATGAGGGTGTTCTCGTGATAAAAATGGATTTCTTTAACTCAAATGTGTCCTACCTACTCAAGGTCAAATTAAAATTTCCCTCACAGGAAGGTAGGATTATCTTTCATGAAAGACAGGATTTTTCTTTTCATCATTTTATTTTTTTAAAATGATTTATTTTTTAAAAAAGATTTATTTGTGCATACAGAACTGGGGTACAGGCCAGAGGTGCAGGGGCAGTGAGAGGATTCACCAGACACAGAGTGGGGAGCAGAACAGGCAGACTGACGAAGTGTACTGCTGAGGGGAGCAGCAGGAGGGTCAGGAGGGGTCTGCCATACCATGTGGGTCAGCTCCAGGGCAGCGGATGGAACTCACACTGATGCAGCTGCGACTTGCAGTGCTGTGTCCTAACCTGCTGCACCACTGGGGCAGGGGCGGGATTTATTCTGAACTGTATAATATTCTGTCATAGCACTCATCTAGTGAACCATATTTTGCTTTTATTCCTGTCTTTTAGAACAGCAGTATATTTTAAGCTTTAGAGTAAAAAACACATGAGTTCAAACCCATACTTATTAGAAAAACAGGATTATCTAGCAACAGATTTATGATATTGTCAAAATAAATGTGGAAACAGTGTATTAAATTTGTTCAATGCTGATCTTCCCTCTTATTTGGGGCAGGGACTACGCCTTATTTTTGTAATCAACCCTGAAGTATATGGAGCACCACTTGAATATAGAGAAATGTTTGGTAAATACCTAGTAAATAATTTGGCTTAAAAATGGATCCTTGAAAATGATGTAAAAATAAACTATTATTTAAAAAAAAAAAAAAAGGATCCTTGAATTTTCCCCACATAAATTTTTATCACCTACAGGAGAGGTTGATATGATATTTTCATGTTTCTATTAGAGATATACTCAAGTTTTATTTAATATGATTTCTTAGCTATTACTCTCATAGTAAGAAAAGCTCATTCTTTACAGAATCAAAAAGGCCAGTAAACTCCTTAGTTCTGGGGAAAATTAGGCCAAATGGCAAAAACAAACAAAAAAAAGTAATGATCAGAAATGTGTGAAATTTCGATCAAAAAAAGTAAATTTTATAAGGGCACAGGGCTCTATTTTCATCCAGGTTTTCCAAAGTTACCAAGTTGCCTGTTTTATTCCAAGAGGCTCATTTGTCACTGAATGCAGACATGAAATTTTCCCTTTGACAAACAGTTGCACTTCTCAAAATTTTAAGGAGAAACATAGACTACTTGTCAAGAAGAGACAGAGCTCATGCAGAGACCAGGAATTACAGATGTGAATCAACTAAAGAACTCTTCAAAAGTTGAGTGATTCCATACCAAACACAAAAATTCAAGCTATACTCCAATTTGGGATACATCTAAGTGTGTATAATTAATCATTTAAACCAACTCTAAAGCTACTGTGCCCTTATCTCTGAAGATTACAAAGTACACTTTCGAAGAGTTGCTACTAACTTTATTTACTGAATTATTAAAGCACACTAATACAAGTCATGTGTAGCTGGAAAATACCTGACTCAAGAAAAGGACTTTGAACCCTATTCAAAATGAAAGGGTTTAAAGATCCTGTTCTGAAAAGACTAACAGCATGTTTAAAAAAAAAAACTATACATTTGTGGCATAGGACAGAATGGAGAAACCTTGCTCATCGATTTTCATACACACGGGAGCTGAAATTTTCATTACATTCTCCAAAAGACTAGAGGGAAGATCTTTAAAAACAACCCACCCACTTGATGGATCATCTGCTTTAAACACACATCCACATATAACTTAAAGACCACTTCAAATATATATAAATATATTCTAGTTGTTCAAACATAACTAGATCTTGTTTGGCACAAAAATGTCTACCATAGACACAAACTTACTTCTGCTCCACTACCCAATTCTGAACACATTAAAGAAGGGAAATGAGTCTCCCAAATCTCATCAAGTTTTTAACAAGGATAATTTGCCCACATTATCAATAATGTGAAGTGTCAATAGAAAGGAGTGGTACTGTTCAATGCAAATGGTAGTCAGCTGGGATCTGCATTGTTCTGCGTAGTTTTGCTTAGCAACAAAAGATAATAAAGGTCTGAGTCAAAGTAATTCCAAAAATCTGTTCATAATCCTCTTTTATCAAAACAAAATTTGATGCTAAAAGTTTCTGATTCCATACACTTTACTAGAGTAAATATAGTTATTTTTGATAATTATTTCAAGTGATTATCTCATTTTAAACAATAAAATCCATTGTTTCCATCTGAAGGGAATTTCAGACATTAAAAGCAGACCGTTTAAAGCAAAGAGCATTTCCTCTTGCCACTGAAAATCCTATGTTCTAATATAACCTCTTCAATTTTGAAGAGAAAACTTGGTTTTTCTCTCTTTAGGGTCACAGGACCATTCACGGTTTCTTTTTTGCATTCTAAAAGAATAGCCCCATTCTTTTAGAACAAGAACTGAAGTTTAAGTCTTTGTAACTAATCCTGCAAAGCACACACAGTTGTCTATGGCACAAGAGATATGCGCAATACACATTTACCAAACTAGTTACATTTTTAAGAAAAGATTAATTTTATTTATTTATACATACAAGAGCTGGAGTGTAGGCCAGAGGTATGGGGGGATAGGGGAAGGGTGAGAGGATTCACCAGAGACAAAGTGGGGAGAATAGATGGACTAAGTTATACTGCTGAGGGGAACAAAAGGCTAGACAGGATTTGTCTGCTGTCACATGTGGGTCAGCTCTCTGTCTGG